ATAGCATCCATATGTATTTCGAACGGGTATCAAATTGAGATTACATTTTTAACAGTGCGGCGTACCGAATAGCCATGGTACGCAGACGACTCTAAATCTACCCGAATGAAATTACATGTATCATAGGTTGCAGAAAGACATGAGTATGTTCCTTCGAGGGAACATTGACATGTAAGGGTACATATGTACAATATACCCAGAGTGGGTATCATATAGTCGATCCAATCCGACTTTACTACTTTCCTTATTGGTTTTTTTCTTGGACTACCACAAGGCGTGGATTTTTTAAGATATTTTTTCATGGACTACCACAAGGCCCTCTAAAGACTGGGATTTTTGAAGAATGTTTTTCAAGGCCCGCTAAAGGCTGGGATTTTTGAAGAATGTTTTTCAAGGCCTGGGCTGGGATTTTTGAAGAATGTTTTTCAAAGGCTTGGATTTCTTAAAAATATTTTTGAAGGCAACATCTATAATTGTGAGTTATTTAAAATACTATTTTTTCATCGAACATTTCCTCATATCCATCACCCTTCTTCAACACACCCTTTCGTTAACCAATTCCCCTCATAGCAATGCTACATTGCAAACTACAAATTCCCATACTCTGGCATAAATTGTTTCTGTCCATATTTATTTTACATTTTACTACAATTTGTGTCGTTGTAGTTGTTGTTGCTTTCCTGCTGTTAAGATTCCTGTTTTATTTTTCCATCAGAATCTCTTTCTCTGCAGAATATTTAAATAATCGCATTAAGCACAACTTTACTCTTCAATGGAAATGAATGTTAAGTTCAGAATAGTCTCATTTATGTTCGTTAGAATATGACAGGACCTCGTTGTTTATAATAACAGGAACAAAAAAAAAAAAACAAAAAATGGGGGAAAATGGTTAACATAAATAAAAGAAGAAGAGTAAAAGTATATTTTGAAGGACCAGCCCAACTGGAGTTAATATTGAAGAGAAATTTGTATTTTTTAACCCATATGCAATTGAAAAACCAGTGAGCGGAGCAGTATAGTCGGACGGGGCCGACCATGCGATACCCTACACAACTACCACGAACTCTAACTTTCTGAGGATGTTTATTCCGAGTCTGAGTAATATTTCGTGATATTTGCCCCCTCTTGTCCGATTAGAGGTTAACAACACCTCTTCCTTACCTTTTCCGAATATTCAGTACAGTCCTTCTACTTACTTGACCAGATTACCTTCACGGTGGGTTGTGTATGATTTTCGGATTATACTCTACTCGAAAACACACAAAAAATTATGTATTCGGTCCATTTCATCCCAAAAATTTGATCTGATCATCACCGAAAATTGTTGGCGTTGTTCTTGACCATAACTGGAACTTCATGAAAATTTTCAAAGCCATCAGCGCGATATTTCTCCCTTTAATGTGGTAATGGATTACTAAATAATATCTGAATACGTAAGCACATGTAAATATTTGAGTATAACTCCCACATCTGAGTAGATACATCACTATATTTGGTATCAATTTAAAGGTCAACCACTCCTCTTGGATATGTTATCAACTCCTAGGGTCTACATCCTCCAGGAGTAAATATATATGCCACAGAATACAAATTTTGTAATTTTTCACACAAAAGTCAGGGTCCATTTGACCCGCTAAATATTGACCGATCTTTATCAAAACATGCACGCTTATTCTCTGACCCTATCCCCTTCTCCATGCAAAAATTCGCGGTGTTTGGGCCATAATTGCGGCCTCTGGAGCGACCAGAAAAACCGACAAAAATTTAGTATTTGGTCCATTTCATCCCCTAAATATTAACCGATCTTTTCCAAAAACAATAGGGGTCTTCATTGGCCAGAACCCATCCTACATGCAAAATTTCGTGAAGATTGGTCCATAACTGTGGCCTGTATCGTGTTTACAAATTATAATGGACAGACGGACGGACGGACGGACACACATGTCTAGATCGACTCAGCTAGTCGAGATATGACGATCGGTATACTTAAAGGTGGGTCTAGGACCAATATTTTGCGGCGTTACAAACATTTGAGGCTGCACAAAGCTATAATACCCTGACAACATAGTTGTGTAGGGTATAAAAATATATTTTTTAAATTCCTAAAAATTGTACACGAAGCTAATTTGTATTAAATGCAGTAAAGGACTAGTTAGACCACCTAACCTCTATAAAGCCCTGATTTTTTATCCTCAATGTATTTAAGCATTATGGGCTCCATACTGTCAATAGAAAGTATAACAAGTGAAAAAGCGTTAAGTTCGGCCGGGCCGAACTTTGGATACTCTCCACCATAGATATATTGACAGGTACTAGAAATCAATATATAGGGAACATACCAAAAATACCGACATTTCCAAAAACGGATTATTTAAACCATAATACAAATTTCAGCAATTTTAATGGATAATTATACTCACTGCCTGGCTACACCTGGCGTTTCAGAAATATTTACATTTCATCCAAACTTTGCCCATTCTCCTGTGTGTTGGTCCCAGAAAGAGTGGACTGATATTACCCATCTTCGAATTTGAACTAAGTTTGGAAGAAATAATAAGATGGGCAAAGTTTGGATGAAATCTAAATATTTCTGAAACGCCAGGTGTAGCCAGGCTAATGAGGATGTATACACTTTGACACGGTGAACCGAATCCAAAAACGGATTATGTAAACCATAACACAAATTTCAGAAATTTTTAATGGATTATTATACTCTCAGCCTGGCTACACCTGGCGTTTCAGAAATATTTAGATTTCATCCAAACTTTGCCCATCTTATTATTTCTTCCAAACTTAGTTCAAATTCGAAGATTGGAAATATCAGTCCACTCTTTCTGGAACCTCCACACAGGAGCTAGGTCTAAATGCGGCTTACGTTCTAATTTTTTTTATCTCAATATCCTCCGCAGGTGAAATGATTACAACAGAGTCTTAGAACCAAACTCAAACCGCGGAATAAATCAGATAACTATTTTAATATAAACAAGTGAAAAAGCGATAAGTTCGGCCGGGCCGAACTTTGGATACCCTCCACCATAGTTATACTGACTGATACATGCAATGATAATATAGGGAACATACCAAAAAGTGGGCATATACCAATTTATGTAAACCTTATGTACACCACATACAAACTTCAGCAATTTTTAATGGAGATTTTTCCTAAAATCTGTAAGATCAAAAAAGTGGACTGATACCGATAACGCATGTAAGAGTATAAAATCCTCAAACTACTGTAATTTAGATTACAAAGTTATATGAGGCTATGCCTAAAGATGACCAATATTGATTTTAATGACCGGCATATGTCAATTTTGAACCAAATATTTTAATTGTTTATCTCAATTCGTTCCTTCAGGAGGTATCACTACATTGAGGAGGTGCCTAAATGTCTGCCGATATATTTCATTATAATCATGTTTGAGTTTTCTTTTATCAAAATATCTTTAAAAGGCGGAATGCTTACAACAGATGGCTAAATAGTCTTTGTAGGGTAAAAATTGACTATTCCCTGTAACGACTACCCAACCGCAACACACGGAATAAATGAGATAACTATTTTAATATAAAAAAGGAGGTTATATGGGGACTACCACTAAAAAGGGGTGAATATTAATAATTTTTTGTGGGGAGATTTGTTACCATATATGACTGCAAAATACCAAATTTCAGCGAATTTGGTAGAAAAACGCGCTCAATAACCTCAAAATATCGAAAATTGGGGGTACCCTTATATGGGAGCTACCCGAAAAAATTGACCTATATTTATAATTTTTTGTGGAGAGATTTGCTACCCAATATGAACTCAAATTACTAAGTTACAGCCAATTCGGTGAAAAAAGCTGGTCAAAACCCCCCAAAAACTGGAAATTGAGAGGTACCCTTATATGGGGGCTACCAAAAAAAGTGGACCTATATTTATATATTTTAGTGGGGAAATTTGTTACCCAATAAGAACCCCATGTACCAAATTTCAGCGAATTCGGTTGAAAACTGCGCTCAAGAACCCTAAAATACGGAAAATTGGGGGGTACCCTTATATGGGGGCTACCCGAAAAAATTGACCTATATTTATAATTTCTAGTATAGAGATTTGGTACCCAATAAGAACTCAAAGTACCGAATTTCAGCGAATTCGGTCGAAAAATGCGATCAAACCCCCCAAAATACCGCAAAATTAGGGGCACCCTTATATGGGGGCTATCCGAAAATATGGACCCATATTTATAATTTTCAGTGGAGAGATTTGCTACCCAATAAGAGCTCAATATACCAAATTTCAGCGAATTCGGTTGAAAAATGCGCTCAAGAACCCCAAAATACCGAACATTTGGGGGTACCCTTATATGGGAGCTATGCCTAAACGTGGACCGATAAAGTCCATCTTCGAACTTGACCTGCCTGCAGACAAAAGACGTCTCTATGCAAAATTTTGGCGATCTATCTCAATTCGTTTAGATGCTAGAGTGATTACAACAAACAGACAGACGGACATGGCCATATCGTCATAGATTTTTATGCTGATCAAGAATATATATACTTAATATGGTCGGAAATGATTATTTCGATGAGTTACAAACAGAAAAACAAAATTAATATACCCTCCATACTATGGTGGAGGGTATAGAAATATTAACAGACCCTCCCAGTTATATAATATTAAGTCAATTTTCGATTTCAATAGTTAAATTAATTCAATATTTATCTACGCGGATCAAAGAATGAAATTACGGCACGCGCCTTTAAAAAAATATGTGAAACAAAAGATTACTTCATTTGAGACGCATTTTCAATTATTAACTGACAACACGCCAATGCAAATAGTTTCTGAAATTAAAACTCCATTCATCATTCTACACTTGTCTAAATAAAATTCAATCAGTTAGGTATTTTGTGTTGTTGTTTGAAAACTACGAACAGAAAAAATACGCCTATTTAAGCCAAAACCACCATCACGAAAAATAATACTACAGTTCAATAGTTCTCATTCTAAGGACAAGATGAAATTCTTCCTAACCATAATCGCTGTACTGGCTTTGGCGTTGCCCGCCTTTGCCATTACCATAGATCGTTGTACCGTGGTGAAGAAAATGTCTTCGATGGGTGTACCCAAATCGGATTTACCCAAATGGGCTTGTATTGCAGAACGTGAATCGAATTATCGTCTACATGTAGTTGGTCCCAAAAATCGTGATGGTACGCAGGATTATGGTATTTTCCAAATCAATAATCGATGGTGGTGCAAGGATGCCAGTGGCCGGAAAACTGCTAATGGTTGTAAAATTGCCTGTAATGATTTGTTGGATAATTTGGATGCATCTGCGAAATGTGCACTCACCGTTAAAAAACAGCAGGGTTGGAAGGCATGGTCCACCTTAAAATATTGTGAAGGAAAATTGCCCAGTGTGGATGCCTGCTTCTGAATAAAGGAATTTAGAAAGCTGAATAATGTATTGTAAAATTTTAAAATAAAATACAATGATGATGAAACTTATCTTTATTGAAGCTAGAAAATCTTCTATAGGGAAAATCTCGACATTGGCTTATACATGGAAAAATCAGTAAGAAAAGTAGTAAAGTCAGACTGGGCCGACAATATGATACCCTTCACCACTCTGGGTATATTGTAGATATGTATCCTTATAATTGCATGCAACCTTTGCTAAATTCTATTTCATTCAGGCAAATTTAGAGTCGTCTGCGTACCATGGGACACATTTATCAAAAATAGATATACGCTATTCGGTACGCCGCACTGTTAAAAATTTAATCTCAATCTGACACCCGTTCAAAATACATATGGAAGCTATGGCTGCATCTGCACCAATTTCAACAAAACCCAATAATGTCATTCAAGTCTCAATTTGATACGTTGTGTTAATCGGACAAACATAAGGGGTTTAGTGCACCATTTATGTAAAATCGGACGAAAATATATATTGTCTAAATCTGAACCGATTTTCACGAAATTTGACACACATCATTCTAGGCTCAATCCAGTGCACTGTGCCAAATTTCGGGCATATGGAAAGATATTTAGGGACTTTGGTGCACCATTGCCCTTAAATCTGACGAAAACATCATTCTACTATCAATTCTGTGCGCTGTGGAAAATTTCGTGCAAATGGAAAGATAATAGATAGATACACATAATTCAGTACGTTTTGCCAAATTGTGTGCAAATCAAAAGATATATAGGGACATTGATACACCATATACATTAAAACGGACGAAAATATATTTGGGAGCTATATCTAAATCTGAACAGATTTTCACGAAAGTTAACGAAAATATATATATATCTAAATCTGGACCGATTTTCACGAAACTTAACACATATCATTCTAGACTTAGTTCAGTACGGTATGCCAAATTTCATGCAAATCGGAAGATATATAGGGACATTGGTACAACATTTACCATAAATCGGACGAAAATATATATGGGAGCTATATCTAAATCAGAACCGATTTTTCCTAATTTCAATAAGGTTCGTCCTTGGGCCAGAAAAATGAGCTGTACCAAATTTCATCCAATTCGAATCATAAATGCGAACCATACTTTGTTTACAATTTATCATGAACAGGCAGACATACGGACGGACCGACATGAATAAATCGACTCAGAAAGTGATTTTATGCATATTCTCAAAAGGAACCATATGTCTATCTCGTTTCATTTTGCCTGTTACAAACATGTGTACAAAGACATAATACCATGTACCACAGTGTGGTGAAGAGTATAAAAATCCACGCCTATGGATAGTCCCTCGAAAAAATATTCTTTAAAAAATCCACGCCTATGGATAGTCCCTCGAAAAAATATTCTTTAAAAACTCCACGCCTATGGATAGTCCCTCGAAAAAATATTCTTTAAAAAATCCACGCCTATCGATAGTCCCACGAAAAAAAATATTTTAAAAAATCCAGGCCTATGGATAGTCCCTCGAAAAAATATTCTTTAAAAAATCCACGCCTATGGATAGTCCCTCAAAAAAATATTCTTTAAAAAATCCACGCCTATGGATAGTCCCTCGAAAAAATATTCTTTAAAAAATCCACGCCTATGGATAGTCCCTCGAAAAAATATTCTTTAAAAAATCCACGCCTATGGATAGTCCCTCGAAAAAAATAGTTTTAAAAAATCCACGCCTATGGATAGTCCCTCGAAAAAATATTCTTTAAAAACTCCACGCCTATGGATAGTCCCTCGAAAAAATATTCTTTAAAAAATCCACGCCTATCGATAGTCCCACGAAAAAAAATATTTTAAAAAATCCAGGCCTATGGATAGTCCCTCGAAAAAAATGTTTATAAAAAATCCACGCCTATGGATATTCCCTCGAAAAAAATGTTTTTAAAAAATCCACACCTAGGATAGTCCCTCGAAACAAATAGTTTTAAAAAATCCACGCCTATGGATGGTCCCTCGAAAAAAATAGTTTTAAAAAATCCACGCCTATGGATAGTTTTAAAAAATCCACGCCTATGGATAGTCCCTCGAAAAAAATAGTTTTAAAAAATCCACGCCTATGGATAGTCCCTCGAAAAAAATAGTTTTAAAAAATCCACGCCTATGGATAGTCCCTCGAAAAAAATAGTTTTAAAAAATCCACGCCTATGGATAGTCCCTCGAAAAAAATAGTTTTAAAAAATCCACGCCTATGGATAGTCCCTCGAAAAAAATAGTTTTAAAAAATCCACGCCTATGGATAGTCCCTCGAAAAAAATAGTTTTAAAAAATCCACGCCTATGGATAGTCCCTCGAAAAAAATAGTTTTAAAAAATCCACGCCTATGGATAGTCCCTCGAAAAAAATAGTTTTAAAAAATCCACGCCTATGGATAGTCCCTCGAAAAAAATAGTTTTAAAAAATCCACGCCTATGGATAGTCCCTCGAAAAAAATAGTTTTAAAAAATCCACGCCTATGGATAGTCCCTCGAAAAAAATAGTTTTAAAAAATCCACGCCTATGGATAGTCCCTCGAAAAAAATAGTTTTAAAAAATCCACGCCTATGAATAGTCGCTCGAAAAAACTAGTTTTAAACCAGTGAGCGGAGCAGTATAGTCGGACGGGGCCGACCATACGATACCCTACACAACATCCATTAAAATCTAACTTTATGTGGTTCTATATTCTGAGATTGGGCAATATTTCCCGATATTTGCACACTTTTGACTGGATAGTGGTCAGCAAATGTTACTAATAATCAGTACAACCCCTTTAATTACTTGTCCAGATTCCCTTCACAGTGGGTAAGTTTTCGGTCCACTTTATCCGAAAAATTATTATCTGATCATCACCTAACATTTTAGGCGTTGTCCTTGACCATAACTGGAACTTCATGGAACATTTCAAAGCGACCAGCGCTATATTTCCGCCCTCCAGTGTAGTAATAGGTTACTAAATAATATATAAATACGTAAGTACCTGTAAGTATTTAAGTGTAACTCCCGCATCCGAGTACCTACGGCAATATAATTGGTATCAATTTAAAGGTCAACCACTACCCGCTAAATATTTACCGATTTTTATCAAAACAGGTATGCTTATTCTTTGGCCCGATCCCCTTCTTTATGCAAAAATTCGCGGTGTTTGGCCCATAATTGCGGCCTCTGGAGCGACCAGAAAAACCGACAAAAATAAAGTTTTTGGTCCATTTCATCACCTAAATATTAACCGATCTTTTCCAAAAACAATAGGGGTCTTCATTGGCCAGAACCCATCCTAAATGCAAAATTTCGTGAAGATTGGTCCATAACTGTGGCCTTTATCGTGTTTACAAATTATAATGGACAGACGGACGGACACACATGTCTAGATCGACTCAGCTAGTCGAGATATGACGATCGGTATACATGACATTACCACTATAGCTGATTTTCTGCACATATTTGGTTTACCATTCTGTATTACTTTGACGCCTAAAGGTATGCTAATAATATGAGGAAAAGCCAACCAATATACATGTATATATTATAGCTTTTACCTATATGACGGTTCCATATGATATCTCTTGAATATGAATTAATATTTTGTTTTCAAATTGAATAGACATTTTTCCACATCACTTATGATGATTTTTCTTTGGCTTAAATTTTTTGATTTTACTAATTTTTGTCACATATTTTCATATTTGAACTTTTGAGTTTGCTGTCTGCGTGTTTGTTCGATTGACCACACCCACACACACCAATACAATGTTTTTATATTCCATACAATTATAATACCAAACATACGACGGCTATTCACATTTGAATTCGCTGCAATGACTTATGGATTTTGTCATTTGGTAGCACCACCCACCATCCTCGTCCTTTCCTCCCTCCAACGACACTGACGAGAAGTACGGCTTTTTAATAATCTGTTCATGTAATTTTTCAGGTCCACAGTATATTGTTTTAATATTAAAATTACGTATGCTCCGATTGCAGTTTCCGCTTCCGCCAATTTAATTTGTTTTTCTCGGTTGTTGTTGTTTTTTTTTCGGTTTTGCCACAACAACATAATTCTCGATTTTATTACATTGCCGTGTGGCCCGATTGGTCACTCTCCTCTGACTGACTCTTGATTATATTCATTTTATATTTATTTATTATAAAATATTTGCTAAATTTTTAATTAAGTTGGATTATGCAGAATGTGTGTGAGTGTGTACGTGATGATGATGATGTGTGCCTGTGTGAATGAGTTGGTGTAAAATATATTTTAACAAGGCCTTACAAAATGGGTTAAATAAATGAATGCAGTCGAGGTGTTAGTGGTTGTGATGACATTAATTATTCACTAAACAGTATTGGTTGGACGGTTGGTTGCTTGGTTGACTGGCTGCCTGGCTGGCTCGTCGTTTTGGCTGAAATGCTGGATATTCATAGACGCAATCACACACACACACAGTCACACATGGCATGCCATTTAATTCATATGTATAAAATGCTGTAATTAATTATGGTTAACTATCTGTCAAGTGGCCTATGATTTATTTATTGAATAATGAAGTCAAAACGGTAAAGAGGAAGGAATTATTTCGAAACAAAAATATTTAAAATAAAAATCTACTGTCATTTAAAATAAACAGGATATGGTAAATAAGGAAAGTATGAAAGGAAATTAAAACCAGTAAGGAAAGTTCAAAAGTCGGACGGGGCCGACTATATGATACCCTTCACCACTATGGGTACATGCAAGACATTTTAATATCTACAATATCCTGGGACGAAAATAGGCAAATGGGACGAAAAAATATATGGGAGCTATATCTAAATCTGAACCGATTTTCTCCAATGGGGTTCGTCCTTGGACCAATTAAGTGACCTGTGCCAAATTTCATCCAAATCGGATCATAAATGTGATCTGTACTTTGTTAACAAAAATACATGGACGGACGGATAGACGAACATGCATAAATCGACTCAGAAAGTG